CAACACAACTACAAAAGAGCCACAACACAACCAAAAGAGCCACAACACAACCACAAAAGCAGCAACACAACCGCAAAAGACATAACACAATCACAAAAGTCACAAACAGGAAACAACCACAATGGATAAGAGCGACGGCGGATGTTGACAAAGAAACAAGTACAGTTTTTCCTTTTTGGGTGTTCCAAGCATTTCCATTGTGATTAAGTTTCCATTGTGTGGCTTTTGTAGTTGTGTTGTCACTTTTGCGTTTGTGTTTTCTTATAATGCAATAGTGTGAGACTCAAATATGCAGAACGTTTCTTAGCACCGTTTTAACAACAGACACGACACAGAACCCAAGAGTCCAGTTTAGTTTCTCAGTGATTAAAGGTCACAAACTCTGCTTCAAATGTCCATATGTTGAAAAATCAGCGCGTATGTGTGTGTTAACTGTACAGAGGAACATGTGGGGGACTGGGTGCTGTGGTACAGGAATAGGACGGAAACTCCCTGGGAAATACCACACTGCGTGCTGTGAATGCTGTCAGAGGCAACATATAAATCCCCAGGCACTTTCTTGGAAGTTTCACTAATCATTTTCAGTTCCTTGCACATAATTAAAAACACACACACACTGCATTCCCCCCATGTTTGTGCAGTGTTTTTTTTCTTTGAAAAACAAAAAGGAAGACTTAAAACATTAATAAAGATAAGTAGTTTAGCGGGGATTAAACAGTTCATCAGGTACAGACAGTATTATTTCTTGTTTTAACTTTTGTAAGTTATATTTGCTCACTTGAAACCTATGCAGACCCCAACTGATTTACTCAGAAATGAAGTATTATATAAATATATGAACCTTTATGAGTGCACTGACAATCATCTCTTCCCTGGTCTTTATTGTTGTGTCTACAGCTCAAAGCCACGTCTGTCCAGTTTCCTACTTCATCAGTATCGTCAATTTCAAGTTTCATTTCCAGGGCTTTAAATAGTTTGGACCAGCAGCTCTCTCCCTGCTCTGGTTTCATTTAAAGATCACACGTGTTCCAGCTTGTACAGATATGTATTTGCACTGTGACGACAGAAGCATGCAGATGAAATTTCTGTTTGGATTGATCAAATCTGTTTTCGTCAGTCACAGTGTCTGACGATTAATTCCAGAGGGTGAACTAAACATCACTCATTTAACAGTCGAATCAAGCTTTTTATAAAGTGCAGCATGGTATCGGGCCTAAGATGAAAAACTAAAAACAACAGGGAATAACCCTGTGACTCTGCAGTCCAGAGCAACAAAAACTAAGGATAGATTTGTATTCACAAGTTACAGAAGACAAACATTTAAAATGTTGTTGAATTCAAATATTCAATGTGATAGTAATACAATTATGTACAAGGCCCACATCCCTCAGCATACCCTGAAGTATATAAATACCAAGTGCCTCCCTCTGGCACTTTTGTTTCTCCGTCCTGTATTTGTTTGTGGTAGTTTGGGGTCTTTTTGTTAGTTTTGAGTGTTTTTGTGGTAGTTTTTGTGTCCCTGTGGGTTTTTTGAGTCTATGCAATTGACATTTTTTCTTTACTTCTGTGTCATGTTGACATAGCTCCATGTCTTTGTGGTCATTTTCTCTCTCTGGGATACTTTTTTTTTTGCAATTGAGTCCACTTAGAGTACTTTGTGTGGTATTTGTGTCCCTCTTCAAAGTACTTGTATCCCTTTATGTGGTATTGTTGTAGTCTCTAAAGTTGTTTTGCATACTTTTGTGTCTCTTTATGGTAACTTTGATTCTGTGATACTTTGTTATGTACCTTTTGTGTCTATCTTGTCATAATGTTGTCTCTATATGATTACTTTTTGTTGTAAAGTGTTTTGCACACTTCTGTGTCTCCTTGTGGAAGTCTTGTGAATCTCTGTGGTACTCCTTTGTGATACTTTTGTACTTCCTTGTGGTATTTGTGTGTCCATGACGTTCTCTGTCTCCGGGCTCCTTATTTGTACTTCTTGTGTAACCATTAAATTCCACCGGGTCCTCTGTGCTGTGCGTTCTTCCAGCTCTACTTCCGCTTTCCACTCATTTCTTCACTTCCGCCTCGCTTGTCAGAGGCGTGTCCTGTTGCCATGGTCACGCGTCACCGGGCAACGCGGCAGTGAAGCGTGGTCGTGGAAAAGCTTTTTGTTCCGGAAATAAAACAAAGCGGAACAATTCACACGTTTTCTTCCACGATCGTTTTCTTTTTGTTTTTAAATCATGAAGTTAGTGAACTAGTTTGTTTACGGACCGAAGCTGCTTCACTTCCGCCTCCTGTGAGTGAACGTGTCTGTTCAACGTCGCATCATTTGATCGTCCTCAGCCTCAGCTCACTTGTTCTTCTCTGCACAGACACGATGCCGGAACACAAAGACTGTACACGGCTCCAGTCAAACAGTCACTGTGACAGCGAGAAGAACAGGAAGAAGAAGAAGAAGAAGAAAAGGAAGAGAACCGCTGCTTCCATCACTTCTCCAGAAAACACACGTCAAGGTGAACAACTACTCACTTTCTAGTACGACCAGAGTCTGGAAGCCTGTGACAGATACAAACCTGACTGCTAAATCAAAGTTATGACACTAAAAAGTTCACATTATGAGTGAGTGAATCGAAATTATGAGATAGCATGTCATTATTCTGAGGCACTAGGTCAGGACTTTGGTATATGAAGTCATTGTTTGACTTACTAACTCATCTTTTTGAAATATTAGGATATTGAGTCATAATTTTAGTCAGTCAGTCGTTATCGTGATTATTTAATTATTTACAAAGGAACACATCGTCTGGTTTATTCTGTCTCTAGTAAAACCAAAACAAATTGCTGAAAAGCTCTAATTGTGCTTTGAAATTACTTTACACGTAAGTTCTTCAATTGCCTTCGAAGTAAAAATGTAATTCTCACGCTTTCCACTCACAGAATTGGAGGATTGGAAAAATATATTTGGGACTTTAGGATTTCACATAGAAAAGTAATTATAATATTTATCAATTCATCAAAATCCCTAAAACCTCTTTAATAGCTTCCACTAAAATTAGTTTTAACTGACCATATTGTGTTATTACTACTGCAGTTTAAATGAAGGTCACACAATGTAGAATAGGCCCCTAGTGTCACAGCTCATTACTCTAAACCAAGCATGAGCCCTCTACATCCAGAGGCAGTCATTAGTAATCTAAACCCTCTGTTTTGCCTGCTGCTCTCCCGACAGAGAAACCTCACACTGTGCCTTTGCATCCTGAGACCCTGCCAGTTTCTCTGCTGACCCCTCAGAGTCCCGCTCAGCCCCGAGCCCCGCTGCCCAAGCTCACAGCTACAGGTAAGAATAGTGGAGAACAGTTCGCTGGCAGCGGCTGGAGGAGCAAAAAACACCCTAAGAATTCACCAGCCCCCCTGAGGGCAGCAAACAAACCCAGCGGCAGTGGAGGTCCAGCAGTGTCAGAGCTCAGCACCCAGGCCAGGGAGAGCCTGAGGTGGGAGGGAGGACTGGAGGACCCCCAGGCTGAGGAGAAGAGGCTGGAGCTGTACAGGGCCAACAGGCGGCAGCGTTACATCACACACAGAGACACTGAGTTGAAAGAAAGCCAGGATGCACTGAGACAGATTCTTCCTAAAGTGCACGGTGAGAAAAAGGCTTTGACTGAATCTTTCCATCAGGAGACTGCATCATTACAGCGATTGAGCACACACTTAAGTATAGAGGCAAACCACATTTAATCATATCAGGCTTTATTTGTTAACAGTGTAAAACAGATTGAGGCACATGAGTAAGGATCTTTTGCTGCCGTTGAAGACGAACTCAGAATGAGCTGCCAGTTCTGTACTTTTTAAAACAGCCGATAGAAATGTTTCTCTGGCAGCTACAGACCAACACATCCACAGTGGACCTGAATAGGCCTATTCAGAGTTTATCTTGTGCTTATAACTTATGCAACACTTGCGGAAAGTCCCGGATGTGATAATTCAGGACTGAAACACTATCAGGATAATGTCCCACTCCTCCATATCCACAAGTCAGAGAGAAAGAAAGGGGTTGAAAGTAAGAACCATAAAATATCAATTTCTTTAGATTTTTTTTCTTCAAATTGGTTTAATTAAAATTGAAATGTGACTAAAATGATTTGATACTACTTAGTCACACTGTAAAATAATAAGTGTTTAAAAGCTCATTCAATGTTTTATTTAATTTTTTTGGGTGGAACAATATGCAGGGATATTCTTTTCTCTCATTTCTTGCTGCTCTGTATTTTTAACTATATGAGACAAACAAAAAGGCAGGCAGTTTAAAACCTACATATTTGGTCCAGTATGTAGTTTGATGTCCTCCCTGATTCAACAATATATTAATAATGATATTTTCAGTGTAAGTGATGATGAGGTAACATAAGACTCATTTACAGAGAGACACATTATTTATAGTTGGTATTTCCTGCCTGTGCTGAGTCGCTGCTGGACGACAGGGGGCAGAGAGGTCACACGTTTCCTGAGTGAATGAAAAGCTCCAACACTGATGAGTCAATGAATACAAAAGGAGACAGAGCTGTGGTGACTGAGATGTTTTGTTATTCGTGAACAAAGTGAAACGCAGGACAAAAAAGTTTAAAAGACAAGTAACATCCTTGTTATTTTCTATCTGGGAATCAGGATTCACTTTGCTCAACAAAGGTGGTGAATGAAAGGACTAATATTCAGGATTGTTCTTAATCATACGAGAGCTGCATCTTTCACTAAAAATCCTCTGGAGAACAAAACATGAAGAATATGCATTGTACTCAATGACTCTCTGTAATAATTAATAGTTTGGGTGAAGCTGCTCAGCTTTTTGTTTTGAACGCAATCCTCAGAAAAATGTGAGATTACAGGGAAATCTAGGTGCTGTTGTCTTCTGCCAGTAAAATGAACAAAAGAATGAATATGATTCTACTTTCAGCTTAAACAAGCTGTGCAACAGAATGTACCTCATCTATCATTAATGATCTGTCACCTTACCGTGACTGATTTCCGCATCAATGTGTTGAAGAACCTTGATTCCAGGTATTTAATGTGCTCTGTTAGCCAATAAAAAAACAGATAAATGACAAAAAATATTGGGTAATAATTTTCCATTTGCTTGTAACAGTTTCTCAATTGATTATAAAGAAAATTAATAAATATTATTATGATTTAAATTCTATCAAATATTATCCTTAAAAAGTTTGCACAAGTGGGAACTGTGGTGATACAGTGAAAATGAGACGAGCTGCTGAGCTCAAAGTAAACGTGGAGGTGGAACAACAGGTGTGAAGTAAAGACAGTGACACACCAGCAGAGAGAAAGAGAGAAAAACACAGCACTTCTTTTGTGGACACTTTGTCCCACTGCCTTTGTGTTCCATTCTCGGAAGGCTCATTGTTTCCCGTCGGTGGGTTTTGTTCCCGTTGCCTGTTTCAGCATCTATGCATCAAAGAGCCCAACAACCCTGCTCGGTTCCCCATCACCCCCCCCCCCCAGACAGACTCACTGACCGTAGCATGTACGCGGTCGCAGTGGGCATCAAGGTCACTTGTGTTTTCCCAGCAGCCCCATCCAAGTAGAAAGGCACACATCGTCTTTAAAATCTGACTGGAGCTTCTCAAATGTGATGTCACTGCACTGTTACTGAAATACCTCTGGAGACATAAATCCATGAATTAAATAAAAAGATAAAATCTGATGAAATGATACAAAATATTAAAAAGTCCCAAAAATCTGCATCCATCTGAGGTATCTGTTGTGTGCACGGTGAAGTCCGCCTCACATGAACACTGACTGTGTGACGCACGGATGAAATCCACACAACCTGCAGCAACACACAGAGCAGGAAACTTTGACTGTGGTCAACATCATAACTGAGGTCTGTCTCTTCTGACTCAAATGTTTTCATAACGTCTTCCCTCTCTGTCTTCGGCGAGAGCAGTGATGAAGAAGAGACAGATGAAGGACGAAGGCTTCACGCCGACATTGTTGAGAACATGAGAGGAGAGCTGTAGATCAGGACAGCTGCAGCCAGCTCAGATCATCTGATCTGTGAGGAAGAAGACACCACAGGTTTTTATATCCACATCTGAGATTCTGAAAAATACATGAACAGTACAACAATGTGAGAAACATCCAGATGCTGCTTTCAACCACAGACTGTATACAAAGATGGATGACATGACAGCTCCCCGAAAGTCAAGCCAAAACATCTGGTGTGCCCCCTATTGGTTGGCTGCAGTATGAGTCATGAACCCAGCCTCCCCCATGTTAGTGCAATGAACTGAGCCTCTTCCTTCGAAAGAAAGAAAGAAAGAGAAAGAGAAAGACTTTACATACTGAGCCTCTTTCTTCGTGATGACATTTCCTGATGCGAACCTCTCAGCTACGGCCGACGCTGCTGGGTCATAGTTGAGGCTCGCCACGGCAATAACTTCCTCCTTCCTGAGGTGAGAAAAATATAAATACACATCTGGTGAAGGAGAAATGTTCTTTTTCCAATTCAAGATGTATTTTTTGGTTGAGAACATCAGCAGTTTGTTTTTCTCAGCTTACTTGATGTACAATGCCAGAAACTTCATGTCCTCAAACTTTCCTTTGATCTCAATCTCAGTGTATCCCTCTCCATAACCTGCACCAGAGTAACAACATCACATACATTCAGTGGTGGTCGGTGCGTCATTCAGAATAATCAGAGTGTAAGCTGTTAGCTGAACACACAGTGAATTGTTACTGTTGCTCTCTTTGATTAAAGAGTCCAAACTACCACAGTCATGTCAACTACAAAAATACACACAAACATATGCATTAGTGTGTGTTTGTGTGTGTCTGTGTGCGTGTGTGTGCGTGCTATCACCTGCATATCGGATTGTTTTACCCAGTAGGACGGTCCAGTAGAAAGGAACTGTGTTGAGTTCAGTCGGTTTATTCAGCATGTTCAGAGCTGCTATTCTCCCTAAACAACCATTTAGAAAAAAAGACGCAAATGTTAAGATCAAATAACAGACAATGAGGGATTATAATCATAATTCTAATAACTATTTACCATTATAGTGTTTTATCTTTCTACATGATATAGGCTACATTGCATCATATCATAAAAGACCAGAATTAAACGACTTTTTCCGGATTCTGCATTCAGAGCTTTGTGACTCTACATCACCATGTGCTTGTGCCATCTGCCAGTGTCCGATGTTGACCATTCGGTTTTTGGCCATCGCCAGGGGGAAGGTGGCGAGGTCGCCCCCACAGAACACATCAGGGACGTTGGTGCGCATGTACTGCAGGACAGAGACACAGGAGGACACTGATGAGTGCAGAATATTTTATTATACTGTTTATTTTCTGTTTGAGGCCCTGGAAACCCACTCTACGTGTTGGGGTTGAATTGTATTAGCAAAACATCCGAGATGATTCAGGTTCATGTTGAGAATGACGGCACAGAATGAGATGTAGATAATCAGGTTGTAATAAATACGAACTGACTTTGTCGACTTGTACAAAGTGTTTTGCATCCATCTTTACGTTACTGCCTCTCAGGACCTCAGAGTTTGGGATGATGCCTGGTGGAAGAACAGAAGATGACACATGCTGCTGAGCAGGTTTTGTGAGAAGCCAAAGAAAAAATCATACAGCTTTGGAATCCTGTCAGAAAATGAGAAGCTGGAAAACTGCTCTCACCGATGCCGACAATCAGAACATCAGCCGCAATAACTTTTCCACTTTTGAGCACGACCTCCTTCACCTGCAGGAGGACAAGAGGACCGTGAGAGAAAAGGTCACGCTGGGTTTTCCGATGCTCATGTCAAAGTGTGTGTTTCAGTTTGACCTTTCCGTTGACACCTCTGACCTCAGTCACATTATCGTTCATGTAGAACTTCACATTCTGCTCCGACAGCATCTGCAGGAACAACAGAGTTTAAACGGAAACTGTAGAGAAACGTGTTTACGTCAAGTAATGTGAGGAAATAGTTCAGGACGTCCTCTATCTCCCTCCGTCTCTTTCTTTCTTTCTTTTACCATCATGGTGACTTTGCCGATTTCGGGACCCAGTGTGTTCTGGTACGGCAGCTCGCTGCTGCCAATCACTGTGACACTGGAGGCTTTGTCAATTAGATAAGAAGCAACTTCCATACCTGAAAAACATGATAATAGGCCAGTTTAAACAAAGATAAATAAACATAACAAACCACATTAATGAATCATTGTGTTAATTTAAATTGTTAAAATGTAGAATAAAAGAAATATTAGGCTTTATACTTTTCATCCAATCATTGCCTTGGACATACAATAACGAATACATAGGAAAGGGCAAAGGTAGAAAAGGGGGTTAGAAAATAAAATGAGGTCGTGACAGATAAGTAGAGGAGTAAAATAAATTATGTTTTAATCTATTTAAAAGTTTAAAAAATAAATCAGGGAAACAAACAATGTATCTAGAAGTAAAATTTGTATTGTGATAAATTGATGAATAAATTAGGTTGTTTTGATTAAGACGATTAGAAGAAAAAGTATTGTCATGAAATTGTTTTGTACGTATCAATACACATGAAACTGATTGACACAAATGTGAAATCATGTACCAACAAACGAGGTTCCCACGAGGACGACGTTGCAGCCCAGACAGACTGAGTGGATTTGTCTTGCGTCCTCTGGCGTCTCCAACATCTTGACATTCTGCAGCTCGATGCCAGGCACATCCAGACCCTTTGCTCTAAAGGACAGGTCATAACTCTGCTCATAAGAAATGTGGTGCAGTGTAGAGATGCTGCTACTGTGACTACTGATCTTACACAAGGTCTAGAAAACAAGTGATCACATCTGCTGTTGTCCTGGCTGACTGAATAACGTATTTTCACTCTGAAATTTCTAGACACGCTCCCCAAAGCAAGGTCAGAGGTCAGATTTGCAGGTATATACTTCTCCAAGGATGTTACGGTTTCACCCCTGTCCGGTTATTTAAACTTGGTGGAAGGATGCTGAAGAAAACATACTTACATCTTATTACATCTGCACCTTAAACACATCTGAGGGTGTATTTACCTGCAGCCTGTTGAGACGAGGAGCTGGTCGTAGCTCTGGACTGAACCATCGTCAAATGTGACCGTCTTCTTTTCTGTGTCCACTGACAGCGCCTGATAAACACAGCAGGAGTCCACTCAGATTCACAGCGTGGCTTTTAAAACTGAAGCATTCTGAATCTGTCCACACTTGGACAAAATGAAGTTCAAGATATCCGGAGTGTAGATGTGAGTGGACAAACTCACTTCTTTCCTGAGCCACACCTCAATGTCGTACTGATGGAAAAACTCCATCCTCCTCAGCAGAATACTGTCACTCTCCACATTCATCACCTGTAACATGCAGGGAGTGTGTGTCTTAGGAACAACGACACACACAAATATATATTCATCACTTGAATGTTGTGACACGTTCTTTGCACCTTGCTGAGTCGGGTTTTGTCGTAAGGTAAGAGGTCGTCTCTGGTGACCATGATTATTCTGCCGCCAAAGTATTCCTGCCGTAGAGTCTCAGCGCAGATCAGAGACGCAGCGCCTGCACAGAGACAACACACACACACACACTGAGGAAACAGATGGGGACAAACTACTGACCATAGACTGTGTATCCCCCAAAAAGGAAGCCAGATTGTCTCTAATGTGCCCTGGTGGCTGGCTGCAGTAGATGTTATACATCCCGCTCCTCCATGTTAGTGGATGGGAGATGAACCAAAGTAAAAAGTAAACTTATTTGTTAATGTAGCTGTTTGTAAATACATTTTTAGATTCTATAAACTGCATAATTGTGTGTATCTTCCCAATACAGATCCAAGTCGTCCACACTCACCTCCTCCGAGCAGCAGAACAGTGTGAGTAACTCCTGGTACTGCAGCTCCCATATTCTTTAATCTTTTTTCCTGCCGGAGAGTCTGAATCACACACACACACACACACACACACACACACACACACACACACACACACACACACACACACACACACACACACACACACACACACACACACACAGCGTAACTTAACAACAAATGCCATTGGCAGCAATGGAATGCAACCTATTCTATATTATTCATTACAGAATTATTGTTTTTACATTTAATTAGTCTACTTCTCCTGTTCTCTAGGTTGTACCATTAGCTTTTAAAATTTAAAATTTTTAAGAAGCAGCATCATCTGTAGTGAAGAAGTTCAACTGCTTACCTTCTTGTTTACCGACACATACACTTTGCTGTTTTGAATTTTGACCTTCAAAAGAGAAAAAAGACAAATTGGAATCAATGCAAATTTCCTCTTCAGCTAAATATCTGTCTGTCCGTCCAGCTCATACCTTGTGGCAGGGTAAACAGTCCATGCCAGGACACTCCTCCAGATCTCCTGTATGGACGTTAAAACAGGAGCCATGCCACGGGCAGCGTACTCGGTGGCCTGAGATAACCCCTGAACACACACACACACACACACACACTTTAGTTATATACTCCTATGCTTATATACTGCCATGGATACATTACTGTACAGGCCTACAACAAAGTGTCACAAAACAACCACAAAGACCCACAAAGTCACATTCAACAGATGCAAAACAACATTAAGACACATGGTAACCACAGAGACACAGAACATCTACAAAGAGATGCAAAACAACAGCAAACAATATCGTTGCACTGGTTAAATATATTAAAAATGATGCGCTTGCACAAAAGTCATATCATCTATAACAAATCATATTATAGTGCCTCTCCTACTGTACAATACAATATATAGCATATTGTAGGCCTTTAGTATATAGTGCACCATCCTCAAAATCAGCCTCACAGAGTCAGAGTCATTTTTATTCAGTGTGTATTCATCCTTCTACTGATCTGAGTCCTGTGTCTTTACCTTTGCTGAGCGGAGCGCCATAGTGCGTACACTGGTTACCGATGGCGCTGTACTTGCCCTCGCAGCGCGTCAACAACACGCTGTGATGTCCCACTTCCACCTCCATCATCCTGAGGTAACACGCACAAACACACACACACACACACACACACACACAGATACACACAAGCAATACTGCAATGACCTTTACATCCAATGAGATATTGAACGTCTGTGGGATAATATTGCTGTGACAGTATTGAACAATCCCTCTCCTGGTGCTTATGGTATTTTTTTGTATTTAATTCTGTTTCCTATTTTTCATACTTTTAATATTTATACTTGCACAGATACACCACAGCAAATGCCTGGTATGTGTAAACCTGCTTGGCAATTAAATTCTGGTTCTGGTTCTGATTCTGATAAGGTTCCTCACTGTCCATCCTGCAGGTCTGACTCAAGACAAACCACAGCTGTCAGCTCCTCTGATGTGTCCTCTGGATCCGAGTCTGGAAGCTCTTGTCGGGCTGGACACACACACACACACACACACACACAAACACACGCACACAAACACACTTTAAATTAATTTAAAGTAGTTAAACAAGCTACACCAGTGAAATCAAACTCCTCAGTCCATCAGTACTTTTTTACAGTGAAATTAAATATCTGCCCCCGGATGTTCGCCAAACTTTGGTCGTTCAAACAATAAAAACTGTGTACTCACGTGGTTTGGTCCCGGACATGTCTCTGACTTAATAGCGACACCACAGAAATCCACGAGACGCCTCCACAAACATGAAAACTTAGTCAGATTCTCCGTTGAAACAAGTTTATGTCTTAAACAGCAGTTCGTGCTCCCTGTTCATTTTCTGCTCATCAGCTGAATGATGGGGTAGAAGTCCGTTTCCACGACAACCAGTCCATCACCAAACGTCATCCCTTGTTTTTGGCAGGATGTGAACAAAACTGGAAAATTTGGGATCGATAAGATGAGAAAAAGAAAAATCAACCAAAAGGTGACTTTTGGGACTCCGGTGACATAAAGGTTTCAGTGATGTTGCTGGTCACATTCAGCCCTGTTATTGTCCCAGAGAAAAGAGACCACCGTCTTTTGTGTTTCACAACAGCAGCACAGAGAAAAGGCTGACGAGGCAGCAGCCGCCGACACTGAATGGACGGGCGACAAAGCTCAAATGACAAAACTGGAGCTGCTGCCATACATATATTGTTTCAAGTTTTAAGATTCATCTCTGAAGAGCTCCAGGATTTTAAACACTATAGATAGAAAATCACTGAATGATGAAGTACATTCAGAAAAACACATGATATTGTTATAAATAACAATATCAACCCCAGAGTCTACAGGTTTCAGGTGTCTATGAATTGATAGTAGTTCCACTCCAAACTTCTCACAGGGTTTCATTTCAGTTTGAAGCCTTAGGATGTTAAGAAATATCCAATATTTCACCAAAATATGAAAGATTAGAGAAAATTCCAAAACCTGAAAACAGATTTTGTGTCTCAGAAGTTCATTTCAATTTCTTTCCTCAACCCCTGAGATGTATCTGGTGATCAGGATACAACCCTTACAGGCCGTAGTGTGGTTGATAGGACCAGTTAAAATATAACTTTATTTGTATAGCAATTATCTAAACAAGGTTACAAAGTGACAGTTGGTGACCAGTATGATCGTTACCTCAGGCCGCAGCTCCTCTGCTTGTTGTCTTATCCAGGCAGAGACAACATAGCCTCAAACAGGACACACCAAAGATAACATCTTTACACAACAAAACAAAATGAATAATGTCTAGTGCTCTTACACCACTGCTCATACTGAAAATACTGAGTCAGACTGAGCTCACACTCAGAACACAGCAAATTTGCACTTTTACAACAAGCTACTGTGGAAAACCGCTGTGAATATTGACAAATATAACATGATGCACTGAGATATACAGGTAAGTGAAGAGTACTTCTTCGTCTCGGCTGCCCGTTTCCTAGTACAGGATGAACCTAAGCCTGATCAGACACGCTCCTGGTGGTACCGTGTGGTGACCTAATGTATTGGTACTTTAGTTTTCAGGTTTTAACTGTGATGCTTTTCTTCCCGGGAGGTTTCTGGTGGATGTCTCGCTGGACATCAGGTCAGAGTGAACATGTACCTAACTATGCATTGATGTTTGGAAGAACAGGCCTGACAGAAAGCGCCAAGGGTCGCCAATAGAGGGAGGCAGCACTTTGTTGCTGCTTTCAGATCTGCTCTTAACTCTGGTGAACCTCGTCCAGAGCCAGAGGGTCTGTGTGAGAACGTAAATGACTTTCTCTGACCAGTCTCATAGTAAAAACTCTGGATAATGTCCAAAATAACATCACTGTCAATCAAGTTTGATCTTGATCTTTTATTTCTAATTGACAGTGGACATGAGGAGACAAAACAAGAGGGACTCTGATATGACCTAAGCCAGGCAGGTCATGATGCCTTGGTGTAGCCGGCTACATGTCTTTTATAAATGAACAGATCGCATACGGTCGAATGTCGCTCTACATCATGATCCTCTTGTGCTGGAACAAGTCGACCAGAGTGGGACCTTTGCAGCTCGCATTGGTTTGGACGTCTTTTCTGATACGTGGCAGGAGGACCTTGTCTGTCCTGGACTCCGTCATGTAGTAGGGACACACCTTTAGATGCTCCGAAATGGACGGCACGTCTCGGAAGCTCCAGGCGTCCACAGGAGAGAACAAGGTGCTGAACTGCCACACCTGCAGTCAAAACAAGAGACGGAATATTAAATCCTGACAATGTTATACTAGAGGGAAAATAGAGCGAAAATCCTTGTTGAAATTATGCTAAATTCCAGAAAATATTAAATATTAGATAGGAAGTGAAGGACAATGCATTTAATACTGAAAATACCTGTCCAATATTTATAAGTATGTTTGTAAATCTTTTACTGTACTTTAACCTGCCGATGCTGATTTAATGAAAGTTTAAATACATCTGATCCTCTGTCGTTGGCTCTTGGCTCACCCTCTGTTTCACCCTCCACCTGGCTCCTCCATGTGAGTCACTGGTTCTCTCCCAGCGAAGGGTGACCATCCCTCTGTCCTGCAGCAGAGAGGAGCACACCTGCCTCATGAGCTGCGACACCAGAGCCAGCTGAGACAGGGACAGACTGTCCAGGAAAGTGACCATGTGGCAAAGCACCTCGTAGGGCAGCAAGTTCAGAGATGCCTCTCCTCCTCCTGCATGACCTCCTCTCCCTCCAGGAGAGGGTAAGGAGACGGCAGAAGTGTGGGAAGTGTCAGCTTGAGAGACAGGGTTGGTGGCGTGCAGGCTAAAGCAGCCCAGACTCTCACTGGAAGCAAAGTTAAAACTCTGGTCTTTAAAAGTGCATCACATTGCCCTGCATGACTTTTATGTATCCACAGAGGATTCATGGGTATTTTAATCAATCACAGTGAAAAAATTGTGGCACTGTTTCATCTGGTGCTGGGAAAACAGCTTCTTCACACATGTTCACTACATTCTGCACTTTCACTCACTTCTCTGCTTTGTCTGGAAAAACACTGTAGTTTAAGTTCTTAATGGCAGTAAAACAGTTAAAGGAGTAAAAGAGTTTTCTGTTGAATAATGCATCACGTGCCTGTAAAATGATGGGACTCATGTCATGAAATTGAAAAAAAAATGATTAAAATCGATGCAGCAGAACTATATCTTCTTTTTTTTTTATCCCTCGCAACCTTCTTTCTAGTAAAAAATCTGATGCCTACATTACCCACAATGCCACTTCATCTTTGTGAGTGCCAGCCTCCTATACAGAGGTTTCACAAACTCACCTCTTTAACTCTAAACTTCCAGATTTCATTTTCAAAAGTATTCAGAGGAACATACTGAGACATCTCTGAGCATTTAGCTGCTATGAAGACAGATATTTTTACAGCTGCTCTTTTCACAGCTGGACTTCTATATATTTCAGATTATATGTCATGTATTGATTAACACTTCTGCTTTTATTTAAAATAAGGAATGTGCATATGTTCCTCAGCATATTAAGGACAAACTTTTAGCATGATCTCACTTGTAGGTGACGCTGGCTTCATGTGTGGACGGCTGGAACCTCCTCTGGCTGTAGGTGCAGCCCAAGTACGCGAGGGGGCACCTCTGCTCGAACCATCCATTCACACCCATCTGGATGTCACTGTGGATATTCCTGTATACACAGAAACATGTTAAACTGAAGGTCTCATCTCCGAGCCTACGACCTGATCCGAGTTAAACCACAGAAGTTCACTGATGTATGACAGTTTCTCAGGTTCTGTACCTTACTTGAATCTTAAGAAACCAATCAATCAGAAGCCCCACCTATAATGTTTGCCATATTCTCTGCGCTGAAAGGTTTGTCCGCAGAGGAAGGTGAAGGTGGAGCTGGCCTTGTGGTGTCGGCTGGTAACGCTCTCCACCTGCAGCTGAAGGTGCAGCTCCAGCGGTTTCCCAGCAATCAGATCGGCCAGCGACGTGTTCCTCCGAAAGGGAGCTGACAGGAAGTTGTAGGTCTGAGTGCCTTCGTCTTGCAGCAGAGCGTCTGTGCACGTGCTCTCTGCGATGAGGTGACCCCTCTGCTCCTTCTCCAGGGAGCACAGCAGAGAGGCCTGAGGGGCAAATCAAACACACTCTGTGGTAGATATTGAGAGTCAGGCCGGTTCTAAACCACCATGATGGAATCAAACTCACATCAGTGCAAATTCTATGTCTTTGAAAGTTTTTCTCCAAAATCATTGAAATGAATGGATGTAGCCTTCGATTGATGTCTCTCCCTCACCTGAATTTCCTCCCACACAGGCATCTCCTTTAACGTCACCCCCAGGTCACTGGTGTCCACGGCCTGACTCTCCCTCCTGTAGAAACCAGGGTTGCGGATGCGGCTCTGCTTGGCAGAGAAGCTGGTTGGGATTTTAAATGTGCGCACAGTGATAATCTTCATGGGCTCCACACATTCATACACAAATTTCTCCTTCCTCAGTGTGCCGCTGGAGGAGGAGGCTGTGGAGCGAGCAGTGCCTGCCCTGCTCACCTGTTTGCAGGTGTTTGATGCTGTTGCACCCACACACACATCTGTTGCATCTTCCTCAATCAGAGCACCCAGGCCTTTGTTTTTCCCTTTAGTTGGTCCCTGGCCTCTGCCTCCCACAGACGCCTCTCCAGCCTCCCTGCAGCCGCCCATCTCCTTACTGAACATGCGCTCCCAGACATTGTAGTTTTCTAAGTCATTAGCATCAATACCTGGGGCCCTGGCAATGGCCTCTCTCTCCTCCTGACTCAACAACGGATCATTTTCAACCTCAACTTCTTCTTCTTCATCTTCTTCATCTTGATCCTTGTCTTGGATGTTAAGCGTGACAAAAGACTCCCAAGTTTGAGCACTGGCCTCCCTTTCTGCTGCCTCCTTCTCCAAGGAAGCTTTTTTCTGTCTCTGCCTCTCCCTCCTCCTCTCCTTCTCCCTTCTTTCTTCTTCTTTTTCCTCCTCCTCTACACTCTGGATGAGCTCAGGGAACAGTTTCTCCATCTTCATGGAGTGAAACAGGCGGTCCTGGTCTTTCAGGGCCATGGCCAGGTCCAGACATCCTTCCTGCTCCTTTTCTCTGAGCAGGTTTTCGTGCAGCTCTGGGCTGGGGTAGGAGTGAGCATCGTGGGCTGGCCAGCGGTTCCACTCCATGGAGCAGCACACCACGCTGGCCGGACACACCTGGAGGTGAGCGGCCTGCGAGGAGCGGGGCAGCTGGACCGGGCAGCCGTACCCCGCATTGAGGCACGGCACCCTCACATTAGGGCAGAGCAGCAGGTGATCCTCCTCTTTGCACAGGTGGAAGAGAGCTCCACAGTGCAGGCGGCAGGGGATGACTGCACAGCACACAGAGACCTCCACCCGGGCCCTGCAGCGCCGGCTGTAGCAGGAGTCACAGTGGACATGCTGCTGCACCCTGGACGCTCGAGAGCGATGACTCTGATTGGAGGAAAAATGGAAACCAAAGGATCAGTTAGTAGTCAGTAGAGTAACATCAAATGTTGCAGGATCATGTATATTTATTGTAAGTTTTATTACATTATTACCCTTTTAATCTCTATTTACCCTGCTGACCTACAGATCTGTTAATAACCATGCAGCCAAACGTTTTTAAACCAACAAAACTTCATACAGGATATCCTGAAGTTAGCAAAGATATCACATGTAGTATGTCAAGCTGACGTCTGTAGAGTATATCAACACATGTAAAATATTCACATTTGAGCCACAAAGTGTTCTGGTACTTTATAGGATACAGTTACACAGGAATGATATGTTTGACCTTTGTGCTACGTAAACAGGAATACAATGAGCAAACTATTTGAAGTTACAGTTGGAAGATAAAAAAACCATACCATCCTTTTAGATCCTCTTGTTCCCCTTTATCTAGTCTGTAGACGTCTGACCTGGAAACAGAGACAAAACTATAAATCTCAACGTCTCACAGTACAATCAGCCTGGTAATATGCAAACAACAGAGACTTAGAGTCAACGAGATGAATGAGTTATAGACTTTGGCCTACCACTGCACGACCCGGAGAGAAACATGTTCCATGCACTCCGTCTGGTGCTTTAAAGACCAAGTGTTTGCGCTATGTGTGTTTGTGTGTTATTAATAGAGCGGAGTCCTGAGGGAGAAATGTACTCGGTTTGAGTTACAAGTCCCATAAGGCATCAGGAAATCTCTCTCACGTCTTTCCTCTCATTCACATTATCGTTCTGCTGATCACTGATTTCAAACTGTGCATATCAAAATCAGGCTGATGTAATATCCCAACAGTGTCCTCTTGTGGGGATTTTTGAATATTGAAAACATGATTTCTGTGTATTTTATTGCAATTGTTCTAACACAAGATGGATTATTTATTCTGTATTAAAATTAGGAGTTCTAATACTCACACTGAAGAGCTGTAGAAACTAATGATTGCAGTTTGGTGGCTGTGACTTGAATCCCGTGAGAGGAGCAGAGTAACAATCTGAGGAGGGGGAGATTCCTCCTTCTGAACCTGCTCGGTGCTTCTCGGCTAATTTTAACCTGTCAGTTCAAAGCGCACGGACACTGAAAGCAACATTATAAAACCAAAGAGAGGAAACAAGACGTCCACAGTGGCACATTGGTAAGACCATAAAGTTTGAACCTGTTGTGAGTGTGTTGATAATGTCTATTTTCTTTCTGTCGTATCTAAAGTGTAAGCAGTGTGGTGACCCTGACAAGAAGTAAAACTCTTAAAGTTAAATATTTCTAAATATTATTTTGCTAATCTAAATTATTTTGTAGTTCACCATTTACATTGAATATCAGCTCTTAAATAAAATGACCAGGTTGAAGAAGCACATTTAAATAATAATAAAAAAAATTGTGATAATGCTGTAGAGCCAATGAACATTTGTTTTATTCTTAATGCATGCATGTGCAAATGATTCCTCTCTTTGTCACTTTCCATCAGCCTCAGCTGAACTTGTTGCATGATGGCAAATCTCAAATCAACCCATGCTAACACGCTAAACTATGACGGTGGATATACTTTATACATTATACCTGCAAAACATCAACAACAGCACATCTATGTAAGCATTTGGCTCAAAGTACTTCTGTATCTTTGAAGGCCGAGAGCTGCAAGCACTGGTTACTGTTACAGTAACTTTTTGTTCGAATTTGAATTTTAGCACATCAGGCCTTTAAAAACTATTCATAATAATGATCTGTTCAAAAGAATCTTTGATTTATCTAATAATTTGACATTAAAGAAACTGTCGGTTGTTTTCAGGGGTCACAAGCGAAAAATTTAGTTGATTTGCTGATCTGATTTAATGTTAAGGCCTCATGTTTGGCTGCAGATTAAAGTTTGAATCTGTGTGTTTTCTTGCAGGATCACAACACGTCTGATCCTGTAAAAAATGGTGAGCACAGAGCAACCTTTAAACATTTTAAAGCCTCAGTGCACCATGTTTAAAATGCTCTTTTTCTATGCTGTCATCTCAGTTCGTCTCCTCTCTTTCTCATTCAATCAGAGTCATCGCTCTCGAGCGTCCAGGGTGCAGCAGCATGTCCACTGTGACTCCTGCTACAGCCGGCGCTGCAGGGCCCGGGTGGAGGTCTCTGTGTGCTGTGCAGTCATCCCCTGCCGCCTGCACTGTGGAGCTCTCTTCCACCTGTGCAAAGAGGAGGATCACTTGCTGCTCTGCCCTAATGTGAGGGTGCCGTGCCTCAGTGCTGGGTACGGCTGCCCGGTCCAGCTGCCCCGCTCCTCACAGGCCGCTCACCTCCAGGTGTGTCCGGCCAGTGTGGTGTGCTGCTCCATGGAGTGGCTCCGCTGGCCGACCGACGACACAAACCCACACAGCAACATAACCCTGCAGGAGAATGTGCTGAAGGATAACGAGGGGCAGGGGGAGGCTCTGGATGTGGCCATTGCACTGGCTGATCAGTCAGAGCTCTATAGCCGTCTGAAAATGAGGCCTCTCTATCCAGAGCAGATGGAGGAAGAAGAAGAGGAGGAAATAAGGGAGGAAAAGAAAGAGGAGGCGGCAATGGGAGAGTTTGTCAATAGTTTCACAAACAATGATGCCAATAAAGGTGAATGAAAGCACCTTTATTATAATTAAATAAGATGACCAACTAAAATCAGGCCTGCATAACAGCTATTTATGTGGATTAAATGAAATATGATTGATATGTGATAGCGTTTTATTTTAATTTTAAAGAAAAATGGGGGAGATTTTGATTTTGAAATGAAAACCTTCATATGCACATAACCACATCAAATACCGCATTTTGTTTATGTCATTTTCTTTTTTCAACATCTCTGTACTTGTATGTTCTTCCATGGGTCGACTCACATCCGTCTCAGCAGAAAACAGTTCCTGCAGCCAAAATGTCCCAGAGACTGAACAGAACAGCGTCGGGCCCGTCCTCAGCAAAGAGAAATACAACCTGTGTGATATGATGTTCAGCATGGAGAGAGGAGGCTGTGCTGTCGCTCAGGAAAACCTGGGTAATCCCAAACAAAACCCAAAACCTGGTGAGAAGGGTAAGGCCCAGAGTGCGGAAGATTTAAAGGAGGCTGAGACGCAGGACAGCGGGGTGACGGGGTTGGCCCCGTGGCAGGAGGGTGTGATGGAGCGTTTGGGGCAGGAGCTCACGCCGCAGGAGTACAACATGTATGTGGTGCATCATGGACGCATGCTGCTCGCCTTCGGAAAAATCCAGGCCTGCACACCAAGGGAGAAAGATTTCGTCTATGGCAGCCTGGAGCCTATTCCTGTCCAGACACTACACTCTTTTAAGGTGATGATGCAATTTATTTACTGTGGTGCTGTTACCCAATGCAGCTTTTAAATAAACCTAATGATAAATAAAAAGCTGTTTTCATTGTATTCTATCCATCTTCCTAATGTGATGTGATATATTCTCATGTGTTTCTTCCTTCAAGATCCCAGACAGCTATCACTACAGGAGTCGGGTTCATCTGTACGACACGACTATAAGGGCTCCAACTGAGCCACGTGGCGTGGACACATCAGACCTTGGTGTAAACGAGGAGGACTGGTTCAGTGACGAAGCCGCAGCTACGCTGCTGGGATACGCTGAGAGAGAGGTCATGGGTCACAAGGTGGGGGTCAGATGACGCTACCAATATAAAAACGTACACTGATAAATATATATGTCTAGTTGTGACTGTAAATACAAATCGGTGTGGTCCTCATACTCAAATAAATCAGCTCTGTTTGTTTCTGTGCAGATCAGCGAGTCCAAGGCAGCCGACTGCCTCTATATTGACGAGGGAACGCAGACACAATCGTTTCGCTCTGCACCATTCAAACGGCAGACGACCCTAGCGGAGGTGATGGTGGACAGGCCGCTGAGGCTTCGTCTGCAGCTGCAGGCAGAGAGCGTGAACAGCAGGCACACCAGAGCCAGCTGCGCCTTTGCCTTCCTCTGCGGGCACACCTTCCACCGAAGAGAGTTCGCTGCACATGTCAGGTGTCGGACAAATCTACCGATGTGGTCGTGTTTGTGGCGTGAATGTGATTCCGCTCACCTCCTTACTCCTGACATGTGTCAAGAGTTTGTGTCTCTTATCTCAAAGGACCAACACTGAGGAAACAATGCTAACAATTTGAAATGACGTAGGATAAACTATACAAACGTCATGCAAATGTTCATATAAAACACGAGCAGGTGCTTTTTTTATCTTCATAGAATTTTGCATTTCAGCTACCTGAAACCCAGAAATTGTATATTTTCGATTATGGTTCCTTTAGAATTGCTGACTGTATCTTTAATCATCGTCTCCTCTCCAGGAACGTCCACAGTGACATCCAGACATGTCTGAGTGGATGGTTCGAGCAGAGATGCCCTCTAGCATATCTGGGCTGCACCTACAGCCAGAGGAGGTTTCAACCGTCCACACAAAAGGCCACCGTCACCTACAAGTGAGCAGAACTCACATTTCACTTATGTCGGTCCATCTTCACTCATTTTCTGAGAATAAAATAATCAAAATTTTTTATATTGTCAGTCAGCAGCTGAGGATCTTCAACTTGCGACCGACCCTCGTAGATGGAGGAGGTTGTGCAGAAGGAGGGGAGGGGTCTCTGAGCTCGCTGCCCTACGAGGTGTTGTGCCACATGGCCAGTTTCCTGGACAGTCTGTCCCTGTCTCAGCTGGCTCTGGTGTCTCGGCTCATGAGGCAGGTGTGCTCCTCTCTGCTGCAGGACAGAGGGATGGTCACCCTCCGCTGGGAGAGAGCCACCGACTCACATGGAGGAGCCAGGTGGAGGGCCAAACCTGTAAGCCATACACACAACACCATTCAGTCCATCCACAAATAAACTCACTCAGTATATGCATATCTCTACCAAGGCCCAGCAGTCTCCTCAAGTTTCACACAATCCCTAAATATTCCTTATTATTGAAATATGTATGAATTATTCCCTGGCAAATTGGGGAAAATGTAAAAAAATGCCCTATCTTGTAATTTCTACCCAATCCCTTCCTCCGTCCCTTTGTGTCTAACCATGCTGAAATGTATTGCTGTCTTTTTTGGCCCATGTCCCATCCCTCCACCAGGTTTCATGGAAATCAATTCAGTAGGTTTTGTTTAATCTGGCTGACAAACATACCAGACTGTCACTCAGTAGAGCGAATCCTTTTGACAGGGTCCAACAATTTCCTTAAAGTCAATCAAGCTGCACCAAATTTCACACACTCATATCAGTCCACTAAATATGCCTGTTTTTTCTAGTTCATCAATATTGTTCCCTTCCCTTGGAAATTGGAGAAATTGTCAAAATCACAACGTTAAAGAAATGTATAATAGAAATCCTGCATTCTTCCGTTTGGCAGGATCCGTGCAGGACTTCCAAATTTAATAGATTCTTTCTTGGTCTGTCTTTCTACAAAGTCTCATGAAAATCTGCCGAGTAGTTTTTGTTTAATCCCTCAAACAACACAACAAACAAACCAACAGAAAGAGGCAAAGACACGACCTCTTCAGTGGAGGTGAATAACGTTGTACATGTTTCCTTCCTGACTCCGGTTTCTCTCCAGGTCTGGGAGTTCAGCC